AATTAAATCGAAGGGAAAATTTTTAATATTGATTTTTGACGTTTTTTAAATTTTCTAAGAAACGTATCGATTTAATTTTTTTAAATTGAGGGGAAAAAATCATTATACAAGTATGACCTTTTATGCAAAGTTTTAAAAAATTTCACCGAAGGGAATTTTTAAAATGACCTGAAAAAGACAAATTTTGGGCTTTATTCTAAGCATGTTGTTGCCATGACAACAGATTTTTAACACAAAAGTTGGAATTTGTAATGTTCAGGAGAACATTGTCAATGTGTCCAATAAATTTCGTTTTTGTGTCATGTAACGTGAAGAAACAGGAGTCTCCTGAATACTATAGTGTAGTAAATTAAAAAACCCTAGGGAGCCACCTTAAAGTCAACCATTTACATGCTATAAACCAAGAAATATGCACTGGACTGATAAGCTAATATATTATAATCAATTCTATATATTGAGTTAAAGCTAGATTACAGTCGCTTCTGCGCATGTGTCAAAAATGTAAACAAATGTGAGCACACTTGTTTTGATTTTGTGTGCTCTCCAGTCCTTGTTCGGATATGCGCGCTCAAAATGGCCGACTCGTAAGAGTTATATAATAGAGCTGTCCACTTCAAAGGCAAATTCTTCTAATGCTGGTCGCCAAAACCAACCAGGAAATCGAAAAGAACATTTCGCGAAAAGGTATGCAACGAAAATGTACTTTAATGATACTATTGGTCGGTGAAATCATTTCAAAACTGAAGCTGGAATTAAAAGTGACGAGGGTTCGCGAATACTATGCTGATCGAGCCTGTATACGAAACATCAAGACGGATTTAATTGTGGTAAGCACACAACACATATCCCTGGATATTTCAGTTATGTTAATGTTGTTATATTTCCTCATTACAAAATTTTATTGTGCACTTATAGCGCTGTGGAAACCCAGACGGATCAGTAGCCAGATGAAACAATACAATGCAGACATGAGCCATTGCCAGTATATGTTCAGCAAGGGGAAACAGCAATGGAGCCACATAAAGATTCTTAAAGATTCTCCTAGGCAGTACGAATACATCCTACAACTTATAATGAAGGTATGTATAACATTTTATGCTTTCCTGAATCCTAGTGAGAAAAAAAAGTGACTTTTAGTTTTCACTTTTCATTATGAAATTCCATATTCTTCATATCACATTTTCAAACAAATATTTTGATCGTTCTGTAGGCATGTTGATTGACGTGTTTTAAGAGCACTTAAGGCTTTTTGGAAAGCCAAATTTTGATTTGCATGAACATTATTAACAAAATCAAAATGTGGCTTGAAAAAAGCCATTTGAGTGTTTTTAAAACACATTGGTCAGCAGCATTTAAACAGGAATAAAACTAATTATAAGTCTTCTTTAGATATGTGGAATGGTGTTGCAAGTGATTACCGAAGGCAAATCGCTCCTAACATAACCCCTGTCCCTCCTCCTTCAGTCAAAGAACTTGTTGAAACCCATCAGTATAAATTCAACTGATCACTGTAGACAAGTGTCTGCCAGTTAAAACAAAGTGCTCTGTTAGGTGGAGCTCATAATCCCTGAAAGGCAATCCACCTAGGAGAAGGAAATCTGATTACAAACTCCTGGACCCCAATACTGAGCCAGGGTGTCCATATTGGATTCATTGATCTTCGGTGCACAGCAATACACTTTTCAGGACTGAAGTAAGGAGCAAGGAGTAATTTTAAAGAATAAAAAAATCAATGTCAATATACAAAATGTTGTGCTTGAACATCCAATGTATTTGATAACTGGTCTTTTATATAATGAAATATTACTGTTCATAAACATTTAACCATTAACATGATAAAGGCTTTCATTTGTTAGCAAAATTTGCTGTGGTTAGTAGACAGAGAAAGATTATAATAAGTTTGAAGCAATTTTGAACTGCAATTTTCTTCTTTTGGTGTATGTGTTAGAGTAAATAATAAAGCCATGCAAAGTAATGTTTCCTGTAATTTTGCTAAAACACAAATGCCAAAAGGAGAAAATCAAAGTTTAAAATCGCTTGTGTGAACGGGCCTTAACAGGTGTGAATTACCCAAGTTCTTTCAAAATATTTAAAATGATCCTCCCTGTCATGGGGAGATCATTGCAGTAAAATGGATTAATGAATAATAAAGTTTCCTTCAATGATCCCTCTAATGCATGGCCATGTCCAGATCAAACATTTCCATCAAGTACTAACTGTGCCACTGTGGGAAGAGAGGGCTAGGCGGTTATGCAAGGCTGTCTTGATTGTGTACAGCATTTGTTTACCCATTTTGTTGGCATTGCAACACAGCATCCACATTTGTAATACTCTGAGGCATTTTCTGGTTTTTCGTAGCTGGGTCTGGTTGAAGCGGTTCACCTGGCAATTTACCAAATTGTCAAATGCAGCTGGCTGATGCTGTATAAGCTCTAACGCAAATGCTCTTCACAGGGCATTTAAATCCATTGCTTCCACAAGATTCTGAAATGAATATATTTATCATTAATTAAATGCAAAGACTCAAGCACAGTGAAACACAGATATTTCTTACCACCAAATTACTGCATTTTCACAGCTATGTACACTTGTATATAGACAGGTCAGCCTTTTTACATATTAATTTGATATTTTACCCGGCAAGGATATGCATAATTATGTGGGGTATTTAATAAAACAAATCATGTGTGTTAAAGCCAGTGGTTAAAGCTTTCAGAAATATAAGTCTGTGTATATTTTTGGCAGGCAAAGTATCAAAATATGTAAACAAAGTTTACCCAGCTATTGTTAGATAATCATTATCCTTTGAGTGAACTATCGCGGTGAACAACATTACATATTCTCAAATGAACCATTGCTCAGGCCACATTTTTTGCGTATAAACTAACAGAACATATATAAAGTTATAAACTAATGAACAAATACAATAAGATTACATGTGAAGCACGTTTCTAACGAACAGTACATAACTAATAGCAATAATACAAACTCACCATCTGTCCTTCGATTGTTCATACATGTATCAAAATCCTCTTCGCGGTACGCGCTTGAGCAAAAAATACCCATACTCTATCGAAGACAGAACATATCGTTTCCAATTCTTCCAGCGAAAAGCTTTCTCCGAGTGCTTCTGCCATGACAGCAACAATGACTTTGGCAATGTGTTTTGACGAACAAATACCCAAGGAAAAATTAGTGATTACTTTGACACTTCCAAAGTTTATTTTACAATGCCGAACATTAATATAATCAACACAATGACTCGCACCTTTGGGTCGGCTTTGTCGGTCTCTTCTGAATGTTTCATCAACGAGGCACACAAAAAACAAATGCCGAATTGATTAACAATATATCTTCCATTCATGATCTTTCAAAATATTTAATTGCTTGTCTTTCAGAAGACAATTTTAAAAAAATTAACAACTCCACTCCTGACTCGGACTCCATTTATATAGTGCATAGCCGCTATACTTCATATTATACAATTGAAGTGGATCCAAACCAAAACAAAAAATGTAAACAAAGCCCGCACATGCGCAGAATGGACTGTAATCTAGCTTTGAGTTAACAATTTTATGATTCAGTTAGATAACATTGTAATTGTAAGTTTAATACTCTCAAATAATTTTCATGTTTTGGCTAATAATAGGCTTGAAGCAATCAGCAAGTAAATATTATTCATATTCACATATTGTTTTATAATATACTATGTGGGTTCAAACATGCTTTCTCCAGTTTTGTCAACCAAGTGGCAAGTGTAACCCAGTATTTACTATGTGTTTATTCAAAATTTGAATTGTTGATTTTAACTAATATTTGACGGAATTGAAATGAAATAATTCAATATCTAAAACCTCTCGCGCGCAAATTCAAATTTAGCAATAGCAGACAGCCACAACAGGCTATAACAGCCACAAGATAAAATGAGTAAATACGGTCGATGTACGTTATAATTATACGATATAAACAGTAATATTTCATACCTGAGATCAATAAGCATTCGGCAGGATTCGGAGTCACTTATCCAGAACCAAATATGATAAAAAACACGATATTCTTGAGCGAAATATGCTCAAACGAAAAAGTCGAAAATTTGTAAATCACACTTGATACTTGATATACGATATCCCACAACTCATTGCGCGCGTGGCCCTTGTCTTCTAAAATACATACACCAAAAAGCGCTCCCAATCTATCGCTAGCTTGAAACTATAGGAAGCATTTATAATCTGGCCAAAAAATGATTATAAAAAAATGATGAAAATTCTTATAAGCGAATAATGAGACATATTTTCTAAAAAAATTATATGCCAATTGCAATAATATAAAATTTTTATCGTTTAACGTATCGCATGTCATAACATTTGACAGCATTAACCGTGATGTCATAACATGTCGGTGATATTTACGCAAAATCTTGGGTAAATTTACACTTCATTTTTTGCGGTCGATCATACCATCTTCATTAAAGCGTAGATAGACGATTGTTGCAAATGATTTGAATTCATATATAATTGTTATTTTTCAATAGCAGCAATTCATTGGGCATATTCAAATTCATTGTGATATCCGCCATGTTGAAACTGCGACAATTCAGGACAGAGCCGTTCAGCTTCAGCTTCAAATTTGACAAAAAAGTGAAAGATATACAATATTACAATTAGGTTTATTCAATTCAATATCATATCTCGTTTTAGCCATGCAAAAGTTGCCAAAAGAAAGGTTTTGATATATGCGATAAATAATATTAAACTTTATTTCAAGATTGTTTTTCTAATTATAAGAATATTATTCTAGGATGGAAAAATGTTATTCTTAAAATAAGAAAAAAATTCTCTCGAATATTCTTGCCCAGTTATATTTTCTTATTTTAAGATTTTTGTTCTTAAAACTAGATTTTTTTTCTTGAAATATTTCTTGATAAGAAATATTTACTTAAAATAAGAAAAATAATCTAAAAAATAAGAATATTATTCTAGACTAGAATTTGATTTTTTGCAGTGTATTATTTCGGTAATTGCCAAAACAATGGAGAAACTCGTACATAACCAGGTCTATTCCTATTTACAACGGGCAAACATACTAACTAATGCACAACATGGCTTTAGACCTCTCCACTCCACTGTTACTGCATTGTTAAAAATGACAAACCATTGGTATCGAAATATGGATGAAGGGTTAATCAATGGAGTTGTCTTTTTAGATCTAAAAAAAGCATTTGATACCGTTGACCATGGTATTTTATTAAAAAAATTATATTTGTATGGAGTGAGAGGAAAGGCGCATGACTGGTTTAGGTCCTATCTGTCTAATCGTACCCAGTATTGTCAAGTTAATGGCAAACTGTCTGAACCACGAACAATAATTACTGGTATTCCGCAGGGCTCAATTCTTGGACCCTTACTCTTTCTTGTTTACATAAATGACTTGCCAAATTGCTTAAAAAGTGCGGATTGTGACATGTTTGCTGATGATACTCAATTAGGAACGGCAAATAAGGATGTCAAAGTAATTTTTGAAACGTTAAATGATGACCTAGCAAATATTTCAGTTTGGATGGCGGCCAACAAGCTGAGCCTGAACAAAAGCAAAACTGAATATATGTTTATTGGATCACATCAAAAACTTGAACAGTGTAACTCCGAATTGCAAATAAAAATTGGAGATACGCCTATTCAACGAGCAACCGTTACTAAATCACTGGGTATGATGGTAGATGAGACCTTAACCTGGCATTCTCAAACAGATCTAATTACAAAGAAAGTGAACAAGGGTCTTTACGTCCTTAGACGATTAAGAGATTTTGTTGATGTAAGGACTCTAGTAACAGTTTACAAAACTTTAATTCAACCACACTTTGATTACTGCTCGCAAGTATTGGGTTGTCTTGGAATTACCCTTCAAAACCAGTTGCAACGTTTACAAAATAGAGCAGCACGTATCATTACAAAGCGTGGGTATGAATTTAGATCAGCCGATATACTTAAAGAATTAGATTTACCTAATTTAAGTCACAGAAGAAATAATCAATTATGTACTACTATGTATCAGGTAAATAATAATATGGTGCCTGATTACCTAATTGATTTATTCACGAAAACCAGTACACTTCATAATCATCAAACTAGGCAGGCTGATTTTAACTTTGCACTCCCGAGACCAAGTACCAACTTTTGTAAAAAATCATTCTCGTACAGAGGAGCTGTAGCTTGGAATGATTTATTACCTAATATAAAAAATATGGGTTCATTGTCAACCTTCAAAAGGGCTCTAGTGTCAAATAGTCGTAATAATTCTTGATAATCAATTTATCTTTTTTCTTTTTCTCTTCGATTTTATTGTATTAACTTAATAAAATATTTTTATAATTGCATGTAATTATTCATACATATATAGCACGGCCTATTGGAAGATCACATCTTGTAAATATTTTAGTTTTTGTCTTTGTGAAATAGTACCGTGGGTAAATAAAGTTTGATTGATTGATTGATTGATTGATTGTTTTCTCGTTTGCTTGTTTACATTTTTTTGTTGCCATCTTGTACGCGATTTTCTGGTTTTTTTTAGAGAAAGCGCGCTCGCACCAATCCTAATGTGCATCACACGTAGCACGGTCATTTATTAGCGCGTTTCCCCGCCCGTGTTTTATAGCGCCCTGGTACAACCGGCACTTTGTACCTACCAAAACCTGATAAAAACTTCCGGTTGTACTAGCCAGGATGGCGTGAGCGAGTTAAAATTTTCGTGGACGTAAAACAATAAGGGAACCGACTCGAGTGACGCTTCTGCTGTATCTTCTTATTCTGTGCCTACATGCACAAGTAAAGTTATATTTAGCACGCTACACATTCTCCTGTCGGCCGCCAGTTGGTCCGTACGTTAGGATCAAAACTGCGTTTTAAAGCCTTCAAAATAAAATATTTTGAGCTCAAAATACGATCAAAACAAGACGCTTGCTAAGCGTTTACTCCAGCTAAAGGATTTGCAAAATATCTGCGTATTCAGCGTATTCGCGTCAAGATTTAAATCTTAGCTTACTCCCACTCCTTTAAAGTGCATTATTTACGAGTAAACGGAGCGGGCTCCTCGTCGCGCAGTGGCTTAGGCGCCCGCCTGCGAAGCGTGGCTTCCGGGTTCGAGTACCGCAAGTAAGGAACAGTTCTATTTTCAAGTTAAATTTTTTTTTCAACTTCTTTTGAGTACTGGATTTTAAGCTTCGGTCTTAGGGTTGTGTGTGGGGTGGTTTAATTTTTTTAAGAGAATATTTTTAACACTTTAAATAGGACTAAATTTCCTGACTGCCGGTCACACTGCTTGCAGCCCGACTGCCGCGATGGAATTATAAAGTTTGATAGTTTAGATACATGTGATGTCTGATGGATATTTTGAATATAAACTAGATGGAGCACACAAAATATGCGTACAGTCGTTTAGTTTTGATCGAGTATACCGAATATGGGTACAACCGTTTAAGTTTTGATCGAGTACGCTTAGAAAGCGTACAGCTGTTTGCCCGTTTTAATACTTTTGATTGAGTATGCTTAATAGCAAGCGTACAGCCGACTACTTCTGATCGAGTACACGAAGAAAGCATACATTGACAAATACTTGATCGAGTACGCATATTAAAATCCACTATCAGTCCTCAGAGAGTAAACAAAGTATCGGCGGTAATCTACTGAATTGGTTCGAGTCATATTTGACAGATCGTCGTCAACGCGTGACTGTACTCGGCGTAACCTCAAGCACCCTTCCTGTGACCTCAGGCGTTCCACAAGGGTCAATTCTTGGTCCTGCACTGAGTGCACTCTTCCTGTTATATGTGAATGATCTACCCGAAGCAGACTTGTACTCTCGAGTTGCAATGTTTGCCGATGACACTAAGCTATTCTCGGCAATTACATCTCAGGACGATGTAGCATCTCTCCAAGCTGATCTTGTGAACTTAGAACATTGGTCATCTCAGTCAGGCTTGTCCTTCAACAAATCCAAATGCAAACATCAGACAATCACGCGTAAGATTGTGCCA